ATGTTCCTATGAGTGACTGAAATTCATATGCCTGTGTTTAGTTTGAACAAACTGTCAATCTGTGATAGACTGAAATAGACTCAATAATAAAAAACGGAAAATATAGTACACCGGACGTTTTATTTCCTCATGTGATACAATTGAATTATTACTAGGTCTAGGCAAAGGAGCGTTAAACCTTTCGACTTGGGCATCACTTTTATAGCTGAAACCACCCAGGTCGGGGTAGTAGAGTGATTTTCTTATAAAAAGGGGCTTTTCGCGTGTGAAAAGAAAATTATGGCAGTCGGGATGATGAAATGAGGTGCAACTTGTGGATGAGCCTTAACGTATATACCGCTCTTTCAACCAGAGCTTATAATGAAGTAACTGGGTTGACGAATTTTTCAAACCAATTTTATTAACAAGTTGAGATTTTAATACGTTAAATGTTGATTGTATTTATGATATATTATTGAAGTACGGACGCTAATATTGTTCACAAGAACTGCAATTTACCCCTGCTGTAGCGATATTCTTACAGAACACGGACATTATTTATCAAGTTACTTTTATAAACTCATTAAGAATATGTATAATCTATGATTTGGGGACTTTTTTAAAAAAATGTGAACACTTTAATCAAGGGCCACACATGTAGGAAATACCAACTTTCTTTAATTACTACCATAACTTGTAAATCTAAGCTTCCTCCCACTCACTATCACGATCTGCTTTGAAGGACAATGACGTTTAACAGAACTTCAAGCAAAGAAGGCGCACTACTAAAAGTCAGGTTGTGACAGAGATTTATTTGGTGGAGCCTACTGAGCCCAGGGCGTCGCCTGCAGAACTCCGTGACCAGCCAGGTTTGCGAGGCCCACGTTGGTGGCCAAAGCCACGGGGTTCACTAACTGCTGAAGCTGCTGAAGCTGCTGGAGTTGTCGCAGCTGCTGCACCTGCTGAACCTGCTGCTGTACGCTGAAGGGTGTCCCAGTGGCGAGTAGATGTGCTGATACAGGGGAGGCCACCGTCAGTCCAGAAGGAGCGTCCAGCCGGGACGAAGAGGTTGTCGCCAGAGGGGTCACGATGCGGGCAGTCAGGGGCGAGACCCCGATCGCGCCAAGGGAGAGGGCGAGAGGCTCGCGGCGCACAACCGCGTTGAAGCCGTTAACGGGATCGGCCGCGTAGTCCACCGTGCGGCGGGTGCCGTCCGGGTCATTGAGGGAGTAGCTTCCCCGGACCACGTCTCCGCTGCGACTCTCGTGCTGGCGCTTCGAGTCTCCCGTCAGCGCATCCTGGACGTCGTAGGCGTAGCTGTACGATGGGTTTGGGTCGTACTCGGTATCCAGAGCGATGGTCGGGGTGACGAGGGCTCCAGGGATGATACCAGCCACGGCAAGACCCAGGAGGCAAGAGAGGACGAACAGCTGCGTGAAAGGCATCCAGTTAAGGAAAGATTACACGACACACGCAAGAATATGACAATTTCAAGATGCTTCACAGATGTCCAACATAAAGGTTCTCTAGGGTGGGCGGTTT